AAATAGCAGTGGGCGTGTCCAGGTGGCGCTGGTGGAGTATAAATGGCGAGAAGGCTCTTGGTTCTGCCTCACACAGCTGCTCCTGCCCTACATCTCAGAGTTACCTCCTCCTCTCTGCCTGTGCAGGTGAGTGCTGGCTGTAGGTTTGGTTGTGAGGACAGTGACTGTGATGCTAACGTGAATGTGCTTTTGTGTTCAGCTCTTTCCAGCATGGCAGCGCTCTGGCTCCAGACCTTCTCCCTGCTCGTCTTAATGATGGTTTCGTGGCCGGGCTCCCAGGCCGTCGGTGGGCCACAGCACCTGTGCGGCTCTCACCTGGTGGACGCCCTGTATCTGGTCTGTGGGGACAGAGGCTTCTTCTACAACCCCAGGAGAGATGTGGACCCTCTGCTTGGTGAGACCGCCAACCATGAACAGAAACACTAGACAAGAATTTGAGGGCAGCTTTTCTTTCTCTCAGTTCACTTTAAATCAGCTTTCATGTTGGAAACTGTAATTTTCCATATCTTTATGGACCCTACATGATTAATTTACATCTATTGTCATTTGTCTCAACACCTGCATCATATAATGGCGCTGATTTTGTAACACTTTGTGTTAGAATTAGTCATTTATGTTCTAATATGTTTAAAATGTATTATTTAATATAAATTCCCATAATTTTAGATCTGAACATTCACCTGCTCTTCATCCCATCAGGTTTCCTCCCTCCAAAGGCAGGTGGCGCTGTGGTGCAAGGTGGCGAGAATGAAGTGACCTTCAAAGACCAGATGGAAATGATGGTGAAGCGAGGCATTGTGGAGGAATGCTGCCACAAACCCTGTACCATCTTTGACCTGCAGAACTACTGCAACTGAACACTGCTCTGCTGGACTTTGTTTAGTCGAGCCAGGCTCGGCTAATCAGGTCTGAGTCCCAACCCCACCTCCCCCCCTGCTTCAGAGGAGAGCCACAGCTGTCCTCTCTCTGAAAACCAACTGCTGTCAAATGAAGTGCTGAGAAATGGATAAAATTAATTTTCCAAGAAAATAAAAATGCAAAATGTGACAACGTGAGGCAAAAAAGTGTGTTCTTTTGTTGTGATGAATCCAGTTAATTGATTACATTGAAAACTCAAGCATGTTAGGTACCTGCTGCTATCCAGCACAAACTGCTGAGCTTTCACTTTTCAAATATTTGTGTTTAGCTTATAGTGTCACTTCTCTGAACAGGATATAAACACATCATGCACTTGGACATGATGTCCTTTTTCCAACAATCCCTTGTCATCTTTATTTCAGCAGCTCAGTGTCAGTGTTTTTTATTCAGGTCCTCATGATTATACAGTGGGGATGCAAACTACAATGCTCTATTTAGAATTCCCATATACCAGTATTATTTCCTAAATGTTGCCAATAAAAAACAAAATCAGAAGAATTTTAAGCAGTTTTAATTTTAAGTTAACCTCATTTGAAGAAGAGGTCAGAGGTCCAAGTATGGGAATATTTAGAATTCCCATGTTGTCAATTCAAATAATGCCAATAAGAAACATAGTTTGAAATATTTAGCATTATTATCACTTGACTGTCAGCTCAATCTATTGACTTTGAAGGAATTAAATAAGTTTCAAAATACTACTTAATACTTAAATCAATTGAAAATCATAGAAACTGGGGCCCCACGGCGCATGTTTGCCCCGGGCCTCTGCTGAGTTTGCTCCGCCTGTGTAGGGCGGGACCGGCTCGTGCCGGCAGGGCGGGGTCAGGTGTTCACCTGCCCCGCTGCTTTCAGTCGTTGTTCCGCTGATTCCGTGACAGGGCTGTGGTGTGAGTGAGCCGGGCTGCGGGTTCCATGCTGGCTGCGACGCTGTCGCTCGCTTTCTGAACATCTCCGGACAATTAATTTGAGTTCTGTGGATGCGCTGAGTCCGCAGGCTACTTCCGGTTCTGTGAAAGCCTCAACAAAGCAGCACGATGCGAGATGTTCACCTGAGCAATGAGACGTGCACAAACGGTAAGAAGTCAGAAAGAAAGAAGTGTGTGCGTGTGCGTGTGCGTGTCCCAGTCAGGTGTTTGTTTGTGGAGCAGGAAACAAGTGCAGAGTGCGGGTGCGCTCTGTTTAAAAATGACTCACAACGATCCGGAAAACTGCTCCTTCTCCTCAGCCTGATGGACAGGGGCGTTTCCACGAGTGTTTGCTCTGTGTGTGAGAGAGACAGCGGGAGAGAGAGATTGACAAATAGTTGATCAAAAATAAATCCAGCGTGTAAACTTGTTGTGGAGCTCAGTTGTAGTTTAGCTGCCATCATCTCTGGTGTTCTGTCAGAATTCTGAGGAGCTTGAGAAGAACAGCCACAGACTTGTTGAAGTTTCTTGAAGATTGTTCTCCTCTCTGAGGAGCTTCTTCACTTACACTGGGACAGCACTATCATCTGTTATGTAGCAGGTTAATCACGACATCCCAGTGTACCTCAGACCAGAACTGGTGGTGTATCCTGTAGGGCTGCCACGATTAGTCGACTAGTCACGATTATGTCGACTATCAAAATCGTCGACGACTGATTTAATAGTTGACGCGTCGTTTGAAGCTTTGTAAGATCACAAAGGACGCAGGAATGAGTAGCAGGATTTAAGAGTGTAATAACGGACTGAAACAGAAGATGGCAGCACTGCATGTACCAGGATGCCAGCTGCCGTTAAACCCCGAAGAGGAAGAAGCTGTGTCCCAGAATTCATAGCGCGGCCCAGCGCAGTTGCCAACAATGGCGGCAGCTAGTTAGTTTTAATGTTACTCTTATTATTCTTTCTGGGTCACAAAATAAACATTTTACATATTTTCAGGCGAGAATGTAGCTGTGTAAACCTCAAATATCTGCTCAGTTTATCAGGACACCACATATTTTCAAAAGCGCTCCGACGTTTTCGGAGGCATCTGTTACCCACTAGCTCGATAGCTAGCCGGGGGCTAGGCCAACTAGAGCCGTGAGAACACCGGACTCCCGGCAGATCGTTTTCAAACCCACCGCCGTCTTTTGCTAGTCAGGTTAAACATATATATGAGTCACTTAGATAACTTAAAAATGTTGTTGTTTGGCTTTTTTCAGTATTTTATTTGTTCCGGAGTAAATCGGTGAGTTTATTAAACTCCACCGAAACAATCTGCACATTTAATTAAAATTTAATAAACTACCATCTTGTCTTTATTTTTAGTTAGCACATACCTTAAACACTTCAAGCTGTAAGCTAGTGATGGTTATATAAGAGCAGATACATGCTGGTGCAATAAGCTGTACGTTTTAAGTACAATGGATGATGATCTGATTAGTCGACTATCAAAATAATCGTTTGTGGCAGCAATAGTATCCTGTGCAGCGCAGCAAGGAGAGCTCAGACCTCTACAGAAACCTAACACTTCATAAACACATGGGAGAACCTAGAAGAGCCACCTCGGCTGTACATCTAAAGGTCAAAGGTCACTCTATGAGGATGTTCACATTTTGGACAGAGAAGACAGGTGGTTTTGAGATGCCTCCCAGATGCCTTAACGCCCACTCACATCCTGGGTCAAGTGTTCTCAATAAGTCACATGACAGAGTGAGGCAAGGTCTCACAATAGTTTCACCTGAAACCTCTGCTGATAATGACCCACACCCATTTTCACACATTGAATCACTCTTAAGGGTCAACTCCCACTCAGGCTTAAGTCCCTGGGACTCTGCTCCATTTGGTTTCAGAACTGAAGAAGCTTCTGGGATGAAGCATCTCCAACAAACTTAAAGAATCGGATCGCTTTTCTTTCCCGGCTCCTTGGATTAGTGACCTGGAGATACTCTGTCACAGATATATTTGAAGGCAATAACTGACATTAACAACACTGCAGGAACACACTTTGTGTGTTAGCTGGGTAATAATCGGCACAGAAACAAGCAGCAGTTGTACTTCTGTTTGTTTTCTATGCTTCAGCTCAGCTTAGTTCCCATCATCATGTTCAGCTTGAGTCATGAAGGCTGCTGTTAATGATTTCCAGCCCGTGCTGAGCTTTTATGATGCAAATCTCAGAAATATGATGGAAGACTGAGCGCACCTGCTCTGATGAACATGAAATTTATGTTCTCGTATTTTCTGATGAAACTCTTTGATTATATCTCACAGCAGCTCGGTTTGATCTCGCTGTTTTCACACATTTCTCTGGGCTCTATTCAGATGGATATTATCTTATGATAGATTTTAGATAGTAGATGTTTCCCACTGTGTGGTCTTTTAACATCAGCCCATAAACAGCTGTAGCTGAGGAGAGCAGCTGCTGGACTTTTATGAGTAAATGTTGTCCCGTTCCTGTGTGGTGGAGGATTCTAGCTGCTCGGCAGTCCCGGCTCATCGTTGTTACATTTTGGGTTTCGTGATGCTCCAGATGTTGGCGAAAGCGCTGAGCCGTAGGCAGCCCGGTCCAACATCTGGACTCTTCTACTGTGAAGCCATGGGGCTGACAGAGAATCCACACAGCTTCGCAGTAGAAGAGTCCGGACCTTAAAATCCAAGCAGCTGGCTGCTGTTCAGGGATGCTGGCCTGCTCCTGTAATTCAGGCCAAATTAGATAAAAGTTGCTGTTTTGAGGAAGCGCCATAGAAACAGACAGCTTGGCATCATGGAAAAGCATCGTAAGATGGACAATTATTTTGTTTAATTCATGGCCAACAGGGAAATGTGAATGTTCGTGTGGCTTTTAGCTAAATTTCTGCCTTTTTTTTTTCTTTCTTTCCTGAAAATCAGTTCTGTTTTTCCATAATTTGGCCCGAGTGTGTTGTGAGGATTTGACCTTGACGTCAGTGTTTCTCCCTCTCAGTATTTTTGATTTTGTTGTATTTAAAATCCAAACACTGTTTTTCTGCGCTTGCTGTTAACCTGTCATAAAGCTTGGACTTAAAACACACCCCACACTGCTGTGGGGTGTGTTTTATGGTGGCCTGCGTGTACGAGCGCTCACTGCTGACAGTGTAAATATTAAACTGCTCTGCCTGGTTTTACTCGTCCTCTCCGCTGCGTGTTGTTACTGCAGCAGCACAACGGTCGGGTCAGTGTTACACGCCTGCAGCTGCGTCTTCAAACCATACGCCCCGGAGACGCTTCCTGATGTGAATGCTGTTTAAAACAGAGCTCCTGTTGTCCTGTAAGGAGTGCCCGATTATTCACACTATCCATCTGTTTTCTTCTGCTGCTGAAAAATCCCCCTGTTTGGTTTTTGCCTTTAAAATGTAATTCATTTAATTTATTAAATTTATTTATGATGAAAACGAATCGATCCAGTGATAGAAACACCGAGGGTCATGTGCTGTCACAGTCTTTCTTTGGGGAGTCATACATTTCTCCACAGCTTCCTGAACACTTCAGCTCAGACACAGCAGCGTCCTCTCTCTGCTGTGTTTTGTCCACCGTCTTGTTTTATGTTTGAAACATGCTTTGAGGAGTTCATGTGGAAAATTGAAGTTCAGAGCACACTGCTCTGTATTTATGAGACTCTGTATTTATCCAAGAATTTTACTTTGAAAGTTCAGTCACAGCCGACTAGCTGGTGCTGGAGCAGACTGTCTCATACTGTCCCACCGCTGACGTCTCCGCTGAGTCTTTCACGCAGACAGAGTCAAGCTCCGCCATCTTGGACTGGTGAAAGTCACGCCTGTGTTTTACCCCAGAGCCGTGCAGCTCCCAGAGCTTTGGGAAAGTTGTTTTCAATGTTTGTTAGCAGTGTTTAAATCTTCAAAATAAAACGCATTTGAGTGTCTTTTTAATGATGTCACTGTTGCTAAATTCAACAGGACGCTCCTGCTTCAACTACCTTTGGTTAACGAGAGTGCTTCCATGGACGCGGCTGTAATCAGTAAAAAATAAATAATTAGCTGAAACATAAAGGATGTAAAAATGTGTCGTGTTTGTGTCTCTGCAGGGTCAGCGGTGAGGTTGTGGTGTGGCTCTCAGTTCACAGTGTGTTTGGTCACTGGAGAAACGCTGATTAACACACACCTGAGCAATGGCACAC